TGGGTACAGAGGAATTACACCTGAGTTCTCAGGAATGGCAACGCATGGCGGGTATCATGGGCGAAACAGTATACTCTGTTAAGTCCATGGTACTGCTCATGTCTATAGGCGACGGTTACCACTTTCCATCAGGTGGGCCGTCAGCTTGTTTGCCATTCTAAGTTGTATAAAAAAAAAGTTATTCGATTTTTCTCGAAAACTTATCTCTCTTAAATATATTTTAATGTAAATTTTATTATGTTTTTTATTTGTTTATTTATCATATAGTATACAGTATTAGGCCCAAATATTTACATTTTGGAAACATCTCGTTTTCTTTTGTGTTTTTTTTAATAGATGATAATGGAATGGTAACCCCACTTGCGCTAACAGTGTATGCTGGCGGGGCACCAGTGAGGGATGATAGATGAGAACGAAGACAAGTCAGCTGGCTCATCGTGATGAATTCTACAAAAATTAAACGCGGTGGTTTTCAGGGAGAACCGCATAAAGGTCGGCCTCTATATAGGGAAGACTATTTTTTTTTTATTAGATGAAAATGGAATGTTAACCCCGCCTGCGCTATCGGTATACACCGACGAGGCACCAGTGATAGATAGGTGAGAATTAATGCAGGTCAGTTGGCCCACCATGATGAATTCGACAAGAATTAAACGTGATGGTTTCCAGGGGGAAGCGCGTGGAGGTCGACCTGAGAGGGTCAATTGCTAGCAACGGGACTATTAGACCTCATTACTAACAATCCCTTTCCCCTCAGAGAAGACTATTAGGCCTTGTTACTAAAAATCCCTCCCCCCCCCCCCTCCTTCCTTCTGTGTTAGTCGATTACGTATAGGTCGTACTAATTCCCGATAACGTAATCGTGATAAATATGACAGTATTAACATAATGTAAGTGGCCATTATCATTGCAATGTTTAACATAGTAACGTATTCACGTTTCGTACGCTAATCAAAAGGAACGTTTGTACCGTCCGCCTATACGATCACTTACTTGGATTTGTATTCGTGTTTGTTCTATGTAAGTTTAAATTTTCTTACTAAATAGTTTATTAAATATTAAAAATTAAAAGGAAAACACTCATAATATAAAACTAATGCGAAGACAATAGGTGTTAGTCATTAGATAGGTACGAGTATGTACACAATAATGTATTTATTTATTTATATTTTATTGACAACATAACAAAAAGAATGTCTAGTCTTATATATAAAATTCCCATGTTACAGTGTTTGTTACCAAACTCCTCCGAAACGGCTTTAACGATTTTTATAAAATTTTGTGTGCATATTGGGTAGGTCTGAAAATCGGCCAACATCTATTTTTCATACCCCTCAATGATAAGAATGACCCTCCGCAAATTTTTTTTTTATTTTGTTGACAAATTTTTCCATTTTTATTTTATTATGATTTAGCATTGAAAAATACACACAACCTCAAATTATCATGCTTTGACAATCAACCCCTGTTTTTTTATCGCGATTTTTATATGCTGCAATAGGGTTGCAAGATGGCAATGCAATATAATAATTGTAGTAGGATAAATTTTCATGTATAGTTCTAAAAATAATGTATATGGTAAAACAACGTTTGCCGAGTCTAGTATATATATATATATATATATATATATATATATATATATATATATATATATATATATATATATATATATATATATATATATATATATATATATATATATATATATATATATATATATTGTACATTACACAAAGTATATTTATTTTTTAATTACTTATCTCTAATTGTATATCTAGGTTATTTACATCAATGTAATTAACATGTATGTAAATCAACGATAATTATGATATTTCTCGTAGTTCGAATTATTCGTCGACATTATTTAATTAGTCGACATTATTCGTCTAATTACTAGCAATATGCCCTATCAGGTCGACCTCCACGTGGTTCCCCCTGGAAACCATCGTGAACAATTCTTGTTGAATTCATCACGATGTGCTATCTGGCCTGCTTCATCCTCACCTATCATCTTTCACGGATCCCCGCCAGTATATACCGATAGCGCGGGTGGGGTTACCATTCCTTTATCACCCATTAAAAAAGCACACCCTATCGTTTTAGTGAATAATTTATAAACATGTACATTTACAGTACAGTACATGTACATAATACATTACATGTTCAATTTTGGTATTTTTGTCACATTGAAGTCTCATTGGTTGATAAGAGATAATCGATTAATTAAATCTATATTTACCTGTCATATGTCACACAAATGGGTAAATACTGTGATCACACTTATCATATATATTTATAAACTTCCTTGTTTTCATTAACTAAATGTAATGAAGATGTTTATTTGTGGTCAATTGGTACTATTTGTAATGCAAAATATTTTCCTGTACCTAGTCTCGAATGTTGTTACTGTTTTACCCGACAGTCGAAAAAGAAGTGTAACTTTTTATATCAGATATAAATACTATATAAACAAAAACATTAACATATACGATAGTACTAAATATATATTTAAAAGAAAGTTATTTCAATATTTGATTTCCTTTAGTTATCAAGAAACGGAAAATATTATGGAAAGAAAACACACATTTTATTTTGTTTTGTATATTCGTTTTCGCAAATTTTAATTTTAGCCTTAATGCAAACTTTACATGGTTTTTTTTTACAACACATGGGGCAAACGAGCATGCGGCTCACCTGATGGTAAGTGACTACCGCCGCCCATGATCACCCACAACACCAGCGGCATTGCAGGTGTGCTGCCGGCCTTTAAAAAGGAATATGCTCTTTTCTTAAAGATTATGTTGTCGTATCGGTTCGGAAATACTGCTGCTGGAAGTTGATTCCAAAGAGTGCTTGTGCGTGGGAGAAAGTGCCTTGAAAAACGCATGGTGTTCCAGTTGGGGGCCTGGACTCCTGAGATACAGATCTCTGATCTAGTTTAGGGTGCAGTCTCCCACAAGTTTTACAGACCATTGTAATTCTACATATATAGTTGTATTTCTTCATGTATTTTTCTGTAAAATTTGTGGACAAAATAAATAAATAGATGCGTAAATATATAGAACACTGACAAAAAAAATTGTCAGCTCATTTGACAATTAACTGACGAAAAGTTGACCCCTTTTTAAGGCTCGAGGCTCTATCTATATAATCCAAGGATCTTCTTTCTTTTCATTCAAGAGTTTCCTCTTGTCGGTGCAACTAATCCATGCATCTTCTTCCAGCCAGCTCTATCCCAGGCCCATATCATTAACTAACAGCCCATAGTGTTTCTTTTATCTGTCCTCGGTCTTTCTCTTCCTCTTTTGTCCACTATTTTTCCTTCTACCATGCTCTTAAATAAAAGTCATGTCGTATTAGGGGGCTCTTCTATTCTCTATTGTTTTAATTAATGTACGTTTCTAATTCAATCTAAGGATATGCCATTAAGATTGTATTAAAATAACTATGTATTATCGTAATAGTACTTGATACAATATAGTTGCTGGGTTTGGCGTCAATCAATATTCGCGCAGTATAGCTATAAAACAGTATTGCCAATTGAAGAGCACATAACCCGTAGTGGTTCTATTTGCGGCCAACCTTGAGCTTGCCACTGCCACTACGTATACATTTATTGATGTTACATAAAACATAATCAAACTTACCTGCCAAAAAATATTTGGCTTGCGCAAACATTTGTCGGGATTTTAAAAATCAAAGTCAGAGGGATTTATACAAAAATTGTCTTAATGTAAGTACACCTCAATTAATAACATATATCATTTTTTTTATACAACTTAGAATGGCAAACAAGCTGACGTCCCACCTGATGGAAAGTGCTAACCGTCGCCTATAAACATGAGCGGTACCATAGACATAACAGAGTATACTGTTTCGCCCATGATACCCCCCATGCGTTGCCATTCCTGAGGACTCAGGTGTTATTTCTCTGTACCCTGTAAATTCACGCCATATCCCACCCTTCAAACCGAAACACAGTCATGCAAACACAACTGCTTTACGGTAGAAACACGAATGCGACAGAGGTACCCAAGCAATCGACTTTTGTACAAAGTCTCCCTCTGGTGAAAATATAAAAATATATATGTATATTTAACAGGTAACTAAGAATATAATTATAGGTATACATAATACAATACTATTTATTATTTATAGATACATAAGACCTACTCATGCGCCTGTTTTCCCTATAAACCTGAAATTAGAAATTCTTGTACATGGATTTTCCTAGAAATATTATTTGTAATTAGCGCGTGGTCTCCGTGAGGATACTTTGTTCTATTCTAATTAATTCATTATTATCTAACACATTATGTATATAAATAAGGAAAATATATGTATATAAATAGACAAAGAGTTACACAACACTGAATCGTCTGCTTGAAATTCCACGTTTTCCATCGACTTGCAAAAAGTTTCTCAATTCGGTTGTGTTTTTTTTATGTTTGTTACCTCAGAACTCCGTCATTTATAGACTGATTTGGAAAATTGATTTTGTCTGAAAGGATATACTTACAGATTGTTCCCAATATAAATTTTATCAAAATCGATTCACTAGTTTAGTTTTTAAATCAAATTAAAACTTATTTAACAACAATTAAAATCGATTTACAACTGTCTGGAGTTATAAGGTAACAAAAATAAAAAAATACGACCGAAATATGAACCTCGTTCTTCTTTAAAGCAGTTAAAAATCAAATATTTCCTTTTTGCAATATTACTTTAGATTTTTTTTTTTTTGTGACACAATCTGTGCATTCTCATATTTGAATACTTAATTCGTTATCACATTGTTTTTTTGCATATCTATAACTTATAATCGACTTGTTTGTATACATTTTATCCTTTGCCTCTCGTACGAAAGAGAGATCATTCTCTGTCTCACTCTATAATGAATCTCATCAACATTGTATCGTAAAATTCAATGAAAGCCACCATTCTTTCTAGTCGTAATCTTATCTGATATGTACAGCAGATAGTTACCTGCGTTGAGCAAGTACCATTTATTCGTCTTTGTGCCAACGTCTCGAGAACTTGTACACACACACACAGTTGTTTAAACATTATTAACTTGTCCAAACATGTTTTAATGTGTTTTTAATCGTATTATTGTTATTATGATTTATCGTTATTGTAAATCAGTGACTTAACGAAGTGATACGTTTGTTTAATAAGTACGTATATATTTCTACATTTAATTTAATTTATAATTTATTGTGTTTCATTAGTGAAGGTTTGTTTCTAATTTTATTTTTAAATAATTTGAAAATATATCTATATATACACGGGTGAGTCAGTGTTGTTTATTTATATATACACATATTTACATACAAATTGGTGTTTTTATACTTATTAGGTGTTTATGATATAACTTTTTTACAAAATTTGTTATTTAATAAGGTAAAAAAAATATATTTAATAACACTAATCTTAGAAATTCTAATATGAGAAAAATAATAGAAGCCAACATAATAATAAAAAAAAATACTGTCTATCTATTTGTCTGTCTAATCACCGGTATGTTTGTTTCAGCATCAAACAAAAAGATTTAATTTTTAGACCAAATTAGATATAGTTTTTACAGCTGTATTTCTGAAAGACTAACTTAAATCTAGTGTGTATTAATCTAGATACGCAATCTGAATTATTTATTAAACTTGACTACATTTAGAGAGTGTACTATCAGATTGATCCTGGACAACGTGCGCGTGGATTTTCAAAATTTATATTTATATATATACATATATATATATATATATATATATATATATATATATATATATATATATATCTTAGTCCTTGATGACAGATACTCTTTCATGAATACGCACTGGACTTTGAATTTATATTAATGATTTTTAAATCAATAATGTAGCAAGTAGGGATGTATGAAAATAAATAAATTTAGAATATTAAGTCATCAATCATTCCATCGTTAGTACTAATTACTAATATCATAACAAAAGTGAGTCTGTTACCTCTTAAACATCAATGATACAAAGAAACGTCAAGAATGTAGCATAAGTATACAGTAATATTGTTGTCAGATACTAAGTACTAAATAAGTACTCGTAACTATGGATAAATGTGAGTTTGTTAGATAATTGAAAAAACTGAAGCTACAATATATCCTTTTTTTTTAAGTTGGTTAAAAACTCAAAGGGTACGCAGAGCAAAACAAAAATATTTTTAAAATCTTGCTTTACACTGCAATGGTGTCATATGCTTATATATTTGCCAGTAGTTGCCACGATAAGCAGTGTTTTTTTTTTATTTATTTATTTCCATATATATATATCTTCGTCATATTGTCTATCTTATATATATATATATATATATATATATATATATATATATATATATATATATATATATATATATATATATATATATATATATATATATGTCGTAATATAAAAAAATACTATGTAACTACTTGTATTCGTCACTAGTTTAGATATTTAGTTCCGTTTTCCTTGCCAATTTTTGTTAAAATATTCTTTGTAAAATTTAAAAATGTAGTCCTTTTGCCATTATCGTTTATAATATACTGTAAGTACAGAGAGAGACTTTGTACAAAAGTCGATTGCTTGGGTACCTCTGTCCCATTCGTGTTTCAACTGTGAAGCAGCTGTGTTTCGGTTTGAAGGGTGGGATATGGCGTGAATTTACTGGGTACAGAGGAATAACACCTGAGTCCTCAGGAATGGCGACGCATGGGGGGTATCATGGGCGAAACAGTATACTCTGTTATGTCCATGGTACTGCTCATGTCTATAGGCGACGGTTACCACTTTCCATCAGGTGGGCCGTCAGCTTGTATATATATATATTATATATATATATTTTATATATACGAGGTTTGTCCGGAAAGTACGTATAAAAGTTTTTTAAAAATTTTATTTTACAATTATTCAGGTAAATCAATTTTATCCCCTTCAAAGTACTCCCCCTGTGACATAATGCACTTGTGCCAACGCCGTTTCCACTGTGAGAAGGCTCCTTGAAAGTCCTCTGGTTGTAGGTTTCTCAGCTGCCCCGTCGTAGCTTTTTTTATCTCATTTATGTCCCCCAAATGCCGCCCCCGAAGTACCAATTTGGTTTTTGGGAACAAGAAGAAGTCACACGGGGCCAAATCCGGCGAATAGGGGGGGTGTTCGGTCACCGTAATGGAATTTTTATCAAAAACTCACGGACAACAAGAGAGGTGTGGGCAGGGGCATTGTCGTGGTGAAGAATCCAACGCCCCTCTCGCGCCAATTCTGGACGAGAGAGCTTTGAGGCGTCTGAGCACATCGACGTAGAATTTTCCATCAACTGTCTGGCCTGGAGGGACGAATATCTTGATGGACAATCCCCGAACATCGAAAAAAACAATCAACATTGTCTTGACATTTGAGCGGGATTTTCTTGATTTTTTTGTGTGTTCCCCGGATGTCTTCCACTCTTTGCTTTGGGATTTTAATTCGACATCAAATTCGTAGAACCAAGACTCATCTCCAGTGATGACTCGGTTCAAAAAGTCACCATTCTCTTCGGCTTCCAACCAGTCCTCACAGCAAGCAACTCTTCGTGATTTTTGATCCGGGGACAAAAGCTTGGGAACGATCTTGGCGCAAATTTTTTTCATTTGAAGTTCGTTTCTTAGAATTTCGTGGACCACGGTTTTGCCCAAATTAAGCTCTTCAGCCACCTGTCTGACCGTTAAACGACGGTCCCCATTAACACAAGTTCGAATTCTTTCCACGTTTTCGTCGGAATGTGAAGTGGAAGGACGTCCTGAACGTGGGTCATCTTGAACGCTTTCTCGGCCCTCTCTGAATCTTTTTAGCCACTTGTGGACGGTTGGTTCCTTCACAGCATCATCCCCATAAACTGTTCTGAGATCGGCAAAAATTTCACGGCCATTCTTGCCGAGTTTCGAGAGAAACTTGATTACGACGCGCTGCTCTTCAACGGAAGCGGGCTCCATGCCGACGGGGTTTCGTTAAGAGGTAACTTCGTGATGATGGCGAGACAAGCCAGTTCGCACCGCACGGCGGTCAGACCAGAACTGAAGCATTATTAGGGACATAAGGAAGGGGTCCTGCGCTTACCTGGCCTTCTCCTCTTTCTCGCATTCCAGAACACTTTTATACGAACTTTCCGGACAGACCTCGTATATATATATATATATATATATATATATATATATATATATATATATATATAATAAATTACTAATAAAGAGATATAAAAAATTACTAAGATAAAATGATAAAGCTATTATTGCTCACTATAGTAAAAACTATATGCGTATACATGAATTCATCATGATGGGCTAACTGGCCTGTTTTCATTCTCATCTATCATCCTTCACTGGTGCTCCGCCAGCGTATCCCGTTAGCGCAGGCGGGGTATGATAACCCCGCCATTTTCACCTATAAAAAAAAATTCATTGCCATATCCCACTCTTCAAACCGATCGCTTCACGGTACCACGGAACCAACTGCTTCACGGTAGAAACACGAATGGAACAGAGGTACCCAAGCAAATGTCTTTTGTAGAAAGTCTCTGTCTGGTCTATCTATTAACAATAGTGGAATTACATAAGACAAAATATAAAAACTCTCAGTAGGAATTGCATTACGATGCAAGCCACGTGTGGTCGCAGGATGTTTAATCACTGATACACTGATGATAGATATACAATAGGTAATGACGGCCACACCGCCCCATGTAGGCGTGTGTTTGGGACGCCTGCCTGTCTGCGGCGAAGATAATTGTCTCCAAACGATATAAACACACAATTACAATGTCAAGGTGATGTGTGACTGTGCCACATAATTTTCCTGTCCTTGTCACAAATTTTGTTTTGTCTCTCTATTAGGTGTCGGCGATGTTTTTACTATGGTGAGCAATAGTAGCTTTATCATTTTATCTTTATTAGTAATTTAAAAATAAAAGATAACACAAATAATTATATATATCAATCGATACCTAATTAGAATAAAAATAATTGTATTGTCACCATATTGTTTATTTTATCTCGATAATGGATAAAATTAATAAAAATGTTTAATATTTGAAATAAATACACAATCAACATATTTATTTTTTATACAACTTAGAATGGCAAACAAGCTGACGGCCCACCTGATGGAAAGTGGTAACCATCGCCTATAGACATGAGCAGTACCATGGACATAACAGAGTATACTGTTTCGCCCATGATACCCCGCATGCGTTGCCAATCCTGATGACTCAAGTGTTTTTTTTTTTGATGGGTGAAAATGGTGTGGTAACTCCGCCTGCACTTACGGGATACGCTGGCGGTGCACCAGTGAAGGGTGATAGATGAGAATGAAAACAGGCCAGATAGCCCTTCATGATGAATTCATCAGGAATTAACCATGATAGTTTCCAGGAAGAACCGCGAGGAGGTCGACCTGGTTGGGTATATTAATAGCAATGGGATTCTCAGTCTACATTACTAACAATCCCTTTCCCCTCTGACTCAAGTGTTATTCCTCTGTACCCTGTAAATTCACGCTATATGCCCACCCTTCAAACCGAAACACAGCCATGCAAACACAATTGCTTCAGAATAGAAACACGAATGAGACAAAGATACCCAAGTAAACGACTTTTGTACAAAATCTCCCTTTGGTGTAATCTGTCTTAAATATCTTCCACGTATAAATAAATACTACCTTCCATTGAAGGATATACCTACCTACACAAAATGACGGTATTTAAATTCAATGAATTTTGATTACAACTGCGCGGAAGCAGAGGCGGAAACCAATTGCGCTGAATTAAGATAAACCTGTTTGTTATTGAACAATACCAATAATATATAATTAGTAATAAGAAATAGATTACGCAAATATTAAAAAATATTTAAAATAGGCGACGTGCTGTAGAAGGGCCAAATTAAAAGTACCCGTAACCGGCGAGCGTGTATGAAAAGATTGATGAATGTGGAAGAAGCGAAAGAGGTTTGTTTGAATCGAAGCATTTGGCGTTCCATTGTTTCTGCCTACCCTAATGGGAGACAGGCGTGACAGATATGTATGTATATATGTAAAAATTATTTATTTACGCTAACCTTCGAAATCGCTCGACTGATTTTAATGAAATTTTCTAAATATATTTTATTTAAAATTTAACATTTACCAGAGGGAGACTTTGTACAAAAGTCGATTGCTTGGGTACCTCTGTCGCATTCGTGTTTAAACCGTGAAGCAGTTGTGTTTGCATGGCTGTGTTTCGGTTTGAAGGGTGGAATATGGCGTGAATTTACAGGGTACAGAGGAATAACATCTGAGTCCTCAGGAATGGCAACGCATGGGGGGTATCATGGGCGAAACAGTATACTCTGTTATATCCATGGTACTGCTCATGTCTATAGGCGACGGTTACCACTTTCCATCAGGTGGGCCGTCAGCTTGTTTGCCATTCTAAGTTGTATAAAAAAAAACCTTCTTTTAGAAGTCGGTTAAAAATATGTGGACAAAAATTAGAAAGGGTTTCCGCTATTATTTAAATTGTGTAGATATGAAATTAAAAAAAAATATAAAACATAAAAAGTGTTATAAATAAATTAGTCAATAAATCCATATTATTATGGAAGATATAAGAGGAAAACGTGATAATTTGTTAACGTCAATTTTACAATTACCTCGTAATAATTGTAATATGTAATCCATATATGGATTATCATGCATTTGCAACCTATTATAATTATTTAGCTATACATTATTTAGTTCAATTACGTTTAATTTTAAATTAATATTCAGTACGACAGTTGCTAAAAACTATATGAGTAATGATGACATTAGTAGATATAATAAATGAATAAATAAATAAATAAATAATTCGAATATTTTAACAATAATTATCTCCTTTATTATTTTGTTTAATATCAATACGAATATATTGTTTATTCAATACTAACTTTTGACCGCAACTTCGCACGCATTTTCTATAACGACGAGTATGAAAGAGCATCGTCTGAAATATAGATGTGTTATATAGGCATGCTTTTTACAAATTTATTATTTATTGATAGATAGATAGATAGATAATTTATTTACATTACTTACAGCACACAAATTACAATAAAAAAAAAAACATAATACACAGTAAAAGAGATAAAAGAATGAAAATAAAAAAGCAACAAAACAAAAAAAAAAACAAAAAGCAAAATATATAAACCAACAATTTCCTTTCTTTCCCTTCCTTCATGCGTGTGCCATAGTAACACAAAATGGTCACAGCTCAGTTTATTGCTTTGCCTTTAAAAGAGCAAAACACTGATATTCTGCTGTGGCCAAGAGTCAGTCGCGAAACTCCTCATTAAAAATAACAATAAAAAGAAATATAAATAAACTGCATTGTATGTGTCCATTACATTCGCCTCCATTTGATATTATATTCTAAATAAATAAATAAATAACAGATACCATTAGATGAGGGGTAGTGACATTGATATGATATTGTGTATAGATTTACATTATTAAATGTTATTTTCTGGGGGGAAAGGGATTGTTAGCTATGGAGCTTGACAGCCCCATTGCTAGCAATATGCCTTATTAGGTCGACCTCCACGTGTTTCCCCCTGGAAACCATCGTGAACGATTCTTGTTGAATTCGTCACGATGGGCTAACTGACCTACTTCATCCTCACCTATCATCCTTCACTGGTGCCCTGCCGGTGTATACCAATAGCGCGGGTGGGGTTACCATTCCATTATCATCCATTAAAAAAAATTACATTTTCTTTACCTATCCCAATAATGAAGTACCACGTTCATGATTCTCTGTTCATCCCAAAAGTTGGCCGGTAGAGAATGCAACTAGCATCAAGTCCGCCTTTTGTATCGTATTTTCTTATGCTTAATAAAGTTATTTAAATAAATAAATAAATTTAATCATTCCCATTTATAATTAAAGACTGGCTGTACCTCGCGGCTTTGTACGTGTGTATCAGTACATAAAATATCCTATGTGCTAAATTAGGATATAACCTACCCATGTGCCAAATTTCATTCATCATCAAACTAAAATACAAAAATCCATTTATTCTTTATTGTACACAAAAGATTATTAAAATGTAAAAACAAACATAATAGTGCACAAAGACGAGCTTATCTCCAATATCTTTAATAGTTTTTAGCTAAAAGAGTAATCCATATATATATATATATAGAAAACTTAACTTTATAATTTAACAGACTGCTTTAACCATGCTGTGTCCACCTGTCCTCAATCTAGTTCAATCTATTATCTTTATATAATGTCTGTAATGTTATTGATTGTAACCTGTTGTGTATACCTTTAATAAATAAATTAAAAAAAAAGAATTTTAATAAAGTGAATTATAAGAAAACTGAGATAAAATACAATACCATAGAAATACCATGAGTGCTTGTTATATGAAATAGCAATAGAATAACGTCACTGAAACAAACGTCAAACGATTCTTTATTAAAAATCTTTATAAAGTCCTTTTTTAGTTAGGAGGTAAAAAAAAACAAGTATCTAACGAAGATATACATATATGTATATATATAATATGCGAGTACGTCAATATAAACCTCAAATCGTTTCCTGTTATAGCACCGGGAATTCCTGCCATTTTCACGATGTACACACACGGTAAATAAGCAAACGAGTTATCCTCCTGAAAATAATATATATAAATGGGAATTTGAACTGTGAATCATTAATTGCAGGCACGACCGGCTCGAGTATAGACCAGGTAGAGGATGGAAGTAGCCTATAAAACACTCAATAAATTTACCGAAATACAATGACACGACTCACTATGAACAAAGACGTGGAGTGCCAGAGGGAACTATTGTCAGACAAAGAATCAAACCAACAACGTGCTGAGGAGAAGTCGGATTATCAGAAGGCACCTTATTTCATTATTTCCCTGTTAATAATTTTAGTAAGTATACATTTAATTTAGTATTTAGTGCAATATTTAAGATGCCAAATAATATATCACTTCCCGAAAAACAACATATTGTATATTAAATTTGGAATTAAGAAAATTAACAATACACCAACACGGTTAGAAAAAGTTACTTTTTACAAAAAATATTTATTTAAATCTATTAAGGGTTGGTACCCTTAAATATATAAAAATAATAGTTGTCATGTATTCCGATGGCTGTTCTCAATTTTGCCGCACTTAGCAACTGCTCGGCTAAGTCACAGTCACAGGTTGTCGTTGCTAAATGTGTAAATATTCAACATAGTTAATAAAGTTAATAAATATAATATTATTTGATACTAGCGGCCCGTCCCGGCATCGCACGGGTGGACATTTTTAACATTTCCCTTCACTGCGCTGCTCCTATTGATCGTAGCGTGATGAAAAGTATACTACAACCTACCCAGGAGTATGAAGAATAATTGTACCAAGTTTCGGTAAAATCCGTCGAGTAGTTTATATTTCTGTAATGAACATACAGACAGACAGACAAAAATTTTACTGATTGCATTTTTGGCATCAGTATCGATCACTAATCACCGCCTGATAGTTATTTTGGAAATATATTTTATGTACAGAATTGACCTCTCTACAGATTTATTATAAGTCATAACATCGACTGCTTGGCCATTAAAAAGTATGTAAAAACACGTAATGGCCGGTAAAATAGCTAAACTTAATTAATATATAAAAATATAATATTATAATAGTCATTACGATATTATTATAATTGTCATGTGATCCCGGCATAGAACGGGCCTCGCCCTCCTTACCCATGAGTAATGTAAGAGGTGATTAAGGGAACTTAATAGTGGAGGGATAGGTAGCAGCGTCCCTCTTAAAACATTATCAAAAGCATAACTGTCATTGCCAACCTGCCTGCCAAGCATGGCAACTACTGTGAACCCCCCACCCTTTATACCTGATATGATGATCACCATGATGATTACAATAGTATTTTAGCAATAATGAGCAATTTTATTTGGTATGTCATTGCCACAAACTAACTCGCTTTCACAATTATAAGTATTATATGAATAAAATAAGAATATTCCCATTATGTATCGAAATTTAATGCTGTTGTCAATTTTGACAGATATGTGTTCATTTATCACTGCCGGATAATGCGCACGTGTGGCTCGAATGGCCGCCGGGGGCGTGGTGGCGGGAGCCCTGGAGACTCGTCACCTACAGCTTCGTCCACGTCTCCGCCTCGCATTTCTGTCTCAATGCACTTGTTGCTCTCATTGTAAGTACACTTCCAATCTATACTAATCGTAACTTACAAGCTGCCGGCTTATATGAACAAGTTTTTAAATAGGTGATAATGGAGTGGCAACCCCACCCGCGCTATCGGTATATACCGGCGGGACACCAGTGAAGGATGATAGGTGAGGATGAAGCGGGTCAGTTAGCCCATCGTGACGAATTCAACAAGAATTGTTCACGATGGTTTCTAGGGGAACCACGTGGCGGTCGCCCTAATAAGGCATATTGCTAGCAATGGGGCTGTCAAACTTCATTGCTAACAATCCCTTTCCCCCCCAATAATTAAAAATTGTATCCCGCAAAAAACCGACTTCGATAGTGGCCTTTCACTTTTTGGTCTAAAAAAATTAACAACTAAGCGTGATAAAATCTTTATGGGACCAATATGTGTATATCCTATCAGATAAAAAAAAATTCCAAATTGGTTTAGAACTGACCTAGTTACGAAGTAACAAACATAAAATATGTAACCGAAATGAGAACCAGCTTCTTTTTGAAGTCGGTTGAGAAATATTTAAAAACATCAATATAAATGAAAATATCGAAAACTAAAATATATAAATATCTGGCATCATAACCCTTAACTTACAATAGACTAGTAGATATTATATGGACTACCTACTATTAAATATATATATCGTCATAGTCGTAGAATACCGACGGATCTTTATATGTAATCGTTGTCGGATCCGTCAGTATTCTACGACCATGACGATATATATGTATATTTTAAAATATGCGCCGCCAGGTCGGATGGGCATTGGAAATTGAAGAAAGATGGTGGCGAGTGCTTATCGTGTGGGTCGGAGGTGTCGTCGCTGGAGCACTGGGCGCTGGCCTGCTGCAGCCAACTGTTCGAGTAGCGGGTGCTTCGGCAGCTGTGTACGCGCTGCTAACCGCGCATATACCCAATGTATTTCTAAGGTACATATCCAGAAAAACGTGTAAAATTGGCATTTTAAAAGTACTAGTGAAGTTTTTAGAATCTTAAATATTAAGAGTTGCGTACAGTGCAAAAGAGATTACAACAGTATGTTTAACAAAGCTAGAGTTTAGGAGATTTTATACAAAGTTTGGATCCTGTATCGCTACTGGTGTCTTGTATTTGGTTTTAAAGGCAGGGAAAATGAGTAGAGTAATTGTTAAGATCACCATATCTCGAAGATCGGCAATACGGGAGTAATGTTTCTGATTATTTCGGTTTTTGGAAACTTAATAGCACAATAGTACAACGCTTAACGGATCCTTATGGAATTGTCGGATTTTGCAGGACCTCCGGAATATTAACCAGAACGAATGTTAATAGATTCTAAGCCATCATACAGGCGGTGACTCTTCGCTTAGATTTCTTTGAACCGACTCTTATGGGATTCTATATTGGCTGTCGAGACAGTTTCGCCAGCGCTAGATATTCGTACACAAAATAGATAAAAAAAAACAGCGCTTAATAGACTATTATAGAGATTGGTACAGTACCAAGCGCTTGGCTTCTTATAGTTTGAAGTATCCAAATAAGATATCGTAACCTATATTTTTTTGTTGGATGATGTATGGGCCCTGAAGAGCATAATTTTTCATTGAAGCAATATAATTTCCAGGTATAATCGCATCAAGCTCTGTTGGTTTCGCATTCTGAGCGTGGTGGTGTTAAGTGGATCTGAACTGATCTGGACGTTAATAGAACACTCATGTGCAAGTAATGCATCAGTGCTTGCGCAGTCGCAACAGCACCCTGTCGCATGGTCGGCACACTTGCTGGGGGCGATAGTTGGTGTTCTACTCGGTTTTATTATTTTCAAAGGTGAGATCTTAGATTATAAATAAGTAATAGGTATTTTGGAATAATGAATTAGACGTTGGGTTAGTTTTTTTTTTCTTATGGATGAATATGGATTTATCAACCGCCTGCGCAAATGGTATATGCTAGCGGGACAACGGTGAGGGATGATTTTTTTCAATGGGTGATAATGGAATGGTAACCCCGTCTGCGCTATCGGTATAAGCTGGCGGAGCGCCAGTGAGGGATGATAGGTGACGATGAAAGCAGGTCAGTTAGCTCATCGTGACGAATTCAACAAGAATTGTTCACGATGGTTTCCAGGGGGAACCACGTGGAGATCGACTTAATAAGGCATATTTGACTAAATACGATACTGCGATACTGCGAAATCGTCGGTCAAGGTAAGGAGGGCAATATTCCGTCCAAACAATAACTTAGCGTTTTACTAAGTAGATTATAATTAATACGAAGAGATTCATCCCATTCGTGTTTCCACCGTGAAGCAGTTGTGTTTGCATGGCTGTGTTTTTTGAAGTCACTTCTAATCATTTAATATTTTAACTTGTACATAATTTACTATGAGTACTCTGAGTTTACCAGAGGGAGACTTTGTACAAAAGTCGATTGCTTGGGTACCTCTGTCCCATTCGTGTTTCAACCGTGAAGCAGTTGTGTTCGCATGGCTGTGTTTCGGTTTGAAGGGTGGGATATGGCGTGAATTTACTGAGTACAGAGGAATAACACCTGAGTCCTCAGGAATGGCAACGCATGGGGGGTATCATGGGCGAAACAGTATACTCTGTTATGTCCATGGTACTGCTCATGTCTATAGGCAACGGTTACCACTTTCCATCAGGTGGTCCGTCAGCTCGTTTGCCATTCTAAGTTGTATAAAAAAAAAAGTTGGCCCATGGTTTCCACGGACAACCACGTAGCGATTGACTACTGGGAACTCTAAATCCCATTACTATCAATCCCTTTTCCCTCGGTTAGGTTCTTTAATTACTATCGTAGTCGATTTCAAACGGGACCCCACGGTACTTTTATTATGGAATGTAAGACATATCGTCAGGTTATTTAGCTAATAGGAATCTGGCAGTAGATAGATAGATAGATAGATAATTTATTTACATTACTTACAGCACAAAAATTACAATAAAAAAAACATACACGTAATACACAGCAAAAGAGACAAAAGAATAAAAATAAAAAAAGCACAAATAAAAAAAAATACAAAAACAAAATATATAATCTAACAATCTCCTTTGTTACCATTCCTTCATGCGTGTGCCATAATAACACAAAATAGTCACAGCTCAGTTTATTGCTTTGCCCTTAAAAAAGCAAAACACTGATATTCTGTTGTGGCCAAGAGTCAGTCGCGAAACTTTTCATTAAAAATTGACAATATAAAAAAATATATATATAAATAAACTGCATTGTATGTGTCCATTATATTTGCCTTCACTTGATATTATATTCTACATAAATAAATAAATAACAGATACCATTAGATGAGGGGTAGTCAGAGATTTTTCCTGACGTAAAGAGGATCTGTTATTTCATTCAGCCCCTCAGCAAAAAGCATTTTTGTAAATATACTTACTTTTATTTATTGTCTAAAAGTATGTTATGCTTAAGAAGTACGTTTTAAGGTTTAAGAAGTGAAATTGTTCAAATTATTCAGATACGAAAAAAAGAACAGTAAGTTTCATCGTGGCTCCATTTTGTCCACAGTTACCGAAGATAATCCATACCAGTTCTTCAATAAGATCTGCCGCATCGTGTCCGCTGTGTTACTCGTATTGACTATTCTGGCCATCATCACTTATTATGTGGTGATGGAAAACCTGTATAACTAAACCACGATGGCAGCTCAGACCGCAGTACCAAGATCAACCTCTAGCCTCAGCCTAATCTTCTGAATTCATATTCATGGTTGAAACATTTAAAAAAGGTAAAGCCTAAGATTAGGTAAAGTCATCTTCTGGTCAACCACGTCGGAAGCTGCAACATTTTTGACATTCAAGCCTGGTGATGACCTCATTGACGGTTTTATCATCGACTTAAACAGATCTTCTAGACAAATCTACTTGTAAACTTATTTATGCTACTCCACTTAGGAAATACGAGTAGAATGTGACAATGAGACTTGAATCTTGTTTTTCTCATGCGTATAGTAACATAATGTAGCAAATTGCTAAAATTATTTATCATTATCATCATGTCATACCAGCCTTTAACTGTCCACTGCTGAACATAAGCTTCCCCCTTGGGGAATGCTTTGCCAGTGGTTGCAATGCTTGACAGTTGGATTGGCAACCGCAGTAAAGCTTTAGAGTTGTTTTAAGAGAAACGCCGCTGCCCATTCCTCGCCTTCCCTTAGTCACCTCTTACGACACCCACGGGAAAGGAAGGGGTGGCCCATTCTATGCCGGGACCACACGGACAAAATTACTTTTATTTGTATACCTTTAATTAGCGGTAAAGGTATTCAAAATATTTAACTATGGCACAGGTATATGTTTAGTATTTGTTCATAGTTACTAAAACAATATACCTATGAGCCAGGTGTGTATTACTCTTTAAAATAAGAGTTAAATTTAACTTTTTGGTTAAGTAAATAATTACTTGACTACTGTATGAGAGACTGAGATGTCCGTTTGTTTTCTACATTTATGTTCTATACTTATAGCGATTATACGTAGCTATTAGTAGATTTGATGGTGGTTACAGGCCATGGTTACACCTGTCTTCCATGTAATTTGAGAATTATTGAATAGTGATGCGTTGTGTAAAGCTATACAAATTTGACAACAATTGTACAAAGAATTAAAAAATAAGCTTATAATTAAAAAAAAAAACGATTGTGATTTGTGTATGTACAGTAGATGGTAAACTATTGAATACGTTTTATACTCAAAAAAATAATGTTATAATTGCATTTATTTGCGTGCCATAATCTTTGTAAATTAAAAGATATTATCACTAAATATATTTAATGTTTGTATATAACTGTAAGTAAATAACGGTAAATGTACTTACTTCGTTGTTTCGACTTCGTCTGGAAGTCTTCTTTAGTATTTACGTGGCAGCTAACTATATAATATAAGTTTTAAAAATTATATGTATTATGTAAATAAAAACAAAAATAAATATAGTGATTATAAAATGAGCTCGGAATTTTTTAAACTTCTACAAAAAATGTACAAAGAAATATTTTTCGTTATTTAATTTCGTACGAGGACAATTAATATAATCCTATTAAATGTACATATAAATGCAGTTCATTAAAATACTGCATAAACGAACACTAATTTTTAGTTCGAATGAGTACCAAATACATTTATTATTGTATTAATGTACTCAATATGTCTTGGTCTGACGTATTAAAAAAAAAAAGTTCCAAACTTGGCCAAAAATTATGTAAACATATTTATTATTTATTAACTTTATCAAATAATTATCTTAAATTGTTATAATAATATAAAATTACTGGTGCACCAGATCAAGCTTTAAATGAACGCACTCTTTAACAAAATATCGCCCTGACTCAAAATAGACAAAAAGAGTTTTCATGGAACTAAAACAAGAGTAAGACTTCATAAACTAGTTAAGGAAGTCAATTTTCTTTAAACCTTCTTTTTTTTTTATATACTGTTCTAAGGAAAAGACGTTGCACTAAAACTCTTTTTAACAATGTTGAGTCAGAACAATATTTTATTAAAAGAATTTTGGTAATAATTATTAACAATCTATACTTATAAAATAAAAATACTACTAGCCTTATTCGCGTGGCAAAATATTTAAATAACTAAATAGTCTTAAAATGTGAAATAATCAGCATTTACTAAGAATAAAAATATTTTTTTAATAATTTAACAACCATGTTAGTATAATATTTGCCATCGACTAGTGTGATGTTATGATACCAAAGAAAACTAATTGCTTAGCGTACAGTAAAGGCATAATATTACTTTACTTTACTTTACTTAACATACTTAATTTTAAGACATCATTACCAGAAATCTGGAGTCAAGTAATTTGTCATACACTTGACAAATTTTACTGAGATTTATTTTTAAATCAATCTTTTCATTGAAACTATTTTACAATGAAATAATGTTCTACTTGTCTCTAGAACAATCAGACCTGTTGAAACTGTACAATCTATTAATTCACTTTGTAAACTTGATGTTTGCATACAAACATGCAAACATTATTCTGCTATTTTGTTTTTTCTCATAAGGATCTGAATATTTCCAAAATGATGATCTCAAATAACATGTACTTTAATCAGTTTTCAATTGTACAAGAATTCAGGAGTGGCAACGCATGAGATCTCTGTCAAAGAACGCCATCTGTTCTGTAGAGGCTCATCAACTCGTCTGCCAATGAAATATATTCATAAACTGGCAAATCGAACTATTATTTAAAAAGATCTCGATATTGTAATCTATTTAAAAAAAAATAAAGAACTTACTTGAACAGAATTTACAATAAATTACAATACCTACTTGTATAACAATTAGTCCATTACCTTAAGGTTGTCTTGAAAAGATTGCTCTCAGCAATAAGACCGCCTTACTGTACTTATACAATTGTATCGTTGTGTTTGTAAATTGTCTTGTTTATTTCCTATATTGTATAATGCAAATAACGTATACTCATTCATTCATTCATTCGTAACAATATCGAGAGCTTTTTAAATAATAATTCAAGTTCATAAATGATAAATGATGTAAATAACTTATGATCTATTTATTTGTTATTGTTGTTGTTTTTATATGTTTTGTTTGTTGTATGTGTGTTGTGTTTTAATTTAATGGTTTAATGTTATTGTAAAAATATTGTGTACAATATTAATGATAGTCATACATATCATATGAAAGTATTATTTTGTTGATTCAGTTATTTCAGATTAAGGGGAAACCAGAGACCCTTCATAGCCGTTCAGGTATAATTTTACAATACATAGTTTTTCGAAGCTAGCGACATCTTGCGTATGGTGAAGGGAATCGTAACGTTACTCTGGTTTGTTCCATATTCTGAATCTATTAAGTATTCAAAATGTAAAAAGAAAATTGTTCACTGTAAGATAAAAAAAAAAAATTGTGCTCTAAGCAAATTATAATAGTTTTCTAAAAGTTTATTATTAAAGTGTAAATAAATTATTGAACACTGCCATTTTGTAAAATAACTTTTTTATACGATATATAACTAAACGAAATAAAATATATATTCTTGACAAATTTGCTAATTTAGTTTTTTTTCTTCATAATCGCAATACCATACAATACATACAAATTTAGGATTTCAAATGTACGCAGATAAACACCACGACTGCGCCTTTAAATGGTGTTTTCTCAATGGGTGATAATGGAATGGTAACCCCGTCTACGCTATCGTGATTGATGACAGGTGAAGATGAAAGCAGGGCAGTTGGCCCATTGTGATATATTCAAAAAGAAATAACTGTAATGTATCGGGGGAAAGGGATTGTTAGTAATGGAGACTGAGAATCCCATTGCTAGCAATATACCCAACCAGGTCGACCTCCTCGCGGTTCTCCCTGGAAACTATCATGGTTAATTCCTGATGAATTCATCATGACGGGCTAACTGGCCTGTTTTCATTCTCACCTATCACCCTTCACTGGTGCTCCGCCAGCGTATCCCGTTAGCGCAGGCGGGGTTTCCATACCATTTTCACCCATAAAAAAAAACTACAATGTATGAGTAGGGATATATATTTATATTATTACATGTATCACATCTCCATAGTTAGAACTAACAGAATTTTTCATCGTGCCTGTCAACAAATTGTTTATAATTACTCCTCTCCATCCAAAGGTTGCCTGGAAGAGATCGCTCTTAGCGATAAGGCCGGCCATTGTTTTCTCACTGTGATTATTTCTTGTAATTGTTTATATTTATAATAAGTTTACTATTGTAATCTTTTGGAGGAAACAATAAAGAGTATCTATCTATCTATCTATCTATCTATGATGATTTCCAGGAAGAACCGCGTGGAGGTCGACCTGATAGAGTATATGCTGGCAATGAGGTTGTCAGATCCTCATTAACAATCCCTTTTCCCCCCGTAAATGGTGTTAAGAAAATACATGTATCCAATATGAATTATCAATGTAAATGCACAATGCGATGTCACGCATATCAGCCGTTGGGGGAAAGGGGTTTTTAGTAATGGAGTCTGATTTCCCCATTACTAGCAATACTCCCTATCAGGTCGACCTCCACGCGGTTCCCCCTGGAAACTGTCGTAGTTAATTCTAGTAGAATTCGTCACGATGGGCTAACAGGCCTGCTTTCATCGTCACCTATCATCCCTCTCTGGTGCCCTGTCAGCGGATACCGATAACGCGAGCAGGATTACCATAACATTATTACCCATTAAAAAAAATAAACATATCATAATCATGTCCAGCAGTGGACAGTTAACGACTCAAATAAATATAAGATACAAGTTATAGATTCTGTTCTCAGTTAAAAAGTGTAAGCAAACTAAGTTTCAGGGTTATACATTATTTTTTGTATCGTATTAGGCGTTAAATGTCCAATGCCGAACATAGCCTTCGCTGTAATGGGAGTTGTGTCAGTAGTTGCCACGCTTGGCAGGCGGTTTGGCAACCGACGTTTGGCTTTTGATAATGTTTTAAGTGGGACGTTACTGCCCATTCCTCCATCATAGGCTCCCTTAATCGTCTCTTACGACACCCACGGGAAACGAATAGGTGGCCTATCCTATGCCGGGACATACAGGGTTTTTTTTTTTAATGGATGACAATGTAATGGTAACCCCACCCGCGCTATCGGTATACACCGGCGGGGCACCAGTTAAGGATGATAGGTGAGGATGAAGTAGGTCAGTTAGCCCATCGTGACGAATTCAACAAGAATTGTTCACGATGGTTTCCAGGGGGAACCGCGTGGAGGTCGACCTAATAAGGTATATTGCTAGCAATGGGGCTGTCAAACTCCATTGCTAACAATCCTTTTCCCCCTGGATCTATAGGGTTATATATACTATTTGAATATAAATTAAATCGCTGCGTGGTCCCGGCATAGAATAGGCCACCCTTTGCTTTCTCATGGGTGTCTTAAAAGTCGACTAAGGGACGGCGAGAGATGGGCAGCAGCGTCCCTCTTAAAATATCTGGGCCTAACTACGGTTGCAACCGCCTGCCAAATATGGCAACTACTGGCAAAACTCCTCTTATGGGGAAGGCTTTTGTCCAACAGTGGACAATTAACGGCTAAAATAATAAAAAATATATATAAATTAAAAGCAATCATTTTAAATAATAATGTATTTCTTTTACAAAACTTAATTACAAAATATAAAAACTAAGTACTTATCTAAAGTTAATAGGATTTTCTTAAATTTAATAACGATAGACTTGAAGTTGAGGCAAGCGGGACCGTAGGTTCTAATCTTTGTCTACGAAGCAACCAGATGATTCTATAGCACGTTGAAATTTAATTCATGTTATTTATAACAAAAATTAAGCGGTCATATTTTAAAATAAGTAAATACGTTATCAGCACTATGGTACTATCTCCGTTTGAGATCATTATCATGGATTTATATTGTCCCTTCAAATAAATATCAACGTTATTCCATTTCACATTCAACACATCTTATATTATACTACAATACACACTCACTCACTTAACGCTTAAACTGTACAATAAATGCATTTTTAATATTACATACATCAAATGAGTGAACATCAATATACAACAGCTATCATTACGGTTACATGGACTGGAAACATGTTTGTTGTGATATTAACAGGCAAAACAATAATTAAACTATTAAAACTTTATTAATGTAGCCAAAACTCTTTCCTTTCAGCAGCTGAGGGGCTTACACTGAACGCCTAATTCTGTACACCAACATTCTTGGCATGGCGTCGACAACTCAGCTATTATCCTCCCCACGCGGTACATTCTGCCATAAATATTGCAACCGGCCAATTTTAAACCAGGTCCCACTTCTGGCAGAAGGTTGGAAGCAGGCGGTCTAGAAATTTCCGCAGACTCTGGTTTGTACTGAACGGAAGGCTCGTCTTTTTTACGTGTAGTGGTTTCTATAAATCTTGTAGTCATTAACGGTCTAAATGTAGTCGTTCTTCTGGTTACAGGTTTCAGAGAATTCACTGTTGGCTGAAACGAGACTGGGACAGGGCGAGGTGTAGTCCTCTTAATCGCTGTCGCCTCTCCAAGAACTAAATGATCAATCCGATTAACTGTGTTTTGTGGAAATGATTTCTTTGGTGGTATATATGGAATATGATGTGGTGGCATTGGGATAAATGGAGCTAACGCCGGTTTAGGAGATGCTCTCTTGGTAGTCATTGGCAACGGAGTTGTCGTAGATATTTTTGGCGTAGTATACATACTAGTTTGTACGCTAACTGGCTTCTTTTTATTTTGTGAAACGGTAGTTGTTTCGTAACTATCACTGAGCAATAGTTTCAGAACACTACCAAAGGAAAATCCTTCGTCATCTTCCTCCTCGTCTTCGTATTCTTGTGAATTGGTTTTAGTGTCATTATATTCTTTTTGTGTTACATTCGTTACTGGAGTTTTTGTGATTGATGAAACAGTTGATAATTTATCTAACGAAACTGAAGGCGATGAAGCGACAGTTGTTAGTTCAAGTTTTGTAGTTTGGTCTGTTGAAATTTTATCAGCAGTATCTACAGTTGTCGTTTCTATTTCGAATGTGGTGGTAGTATTATCAGATATATGTGTATTGTGGTTTGATGATATGCTATTTGTTTCTATTTTATTATGATGCGACGTATTATTATTAACAATACTATTTTTTTCCGTTGCATTCTCGTTTATTAGTATATTAATTGCAGGTATCGCTGTACTGTTGTTGTCTAGAAAAAAAACATATAATATAAACATATAACCTATATATTTAACCAAATAATTAAATTCATAATAATATTGAAACCTGATTATTTTACCTTTATCACAAATCAAATCGCCACAACACAAGTCTGCGTTATTTGTGGTAGCGGGTTTTCTTTTACAGCCTGCAGGAGTAAGACACGGTCGCGGGGAACAATGCAGCTCTCCCCAAGCGCAGGTGCATATGGAACATGCAATTGAAATGGAGTCTCCTTCTCGTATATGTCGTCCATCTCCGGATATGCATTCACCTAAATAAAATAAAATGTGAGTATATGTAATATGTATGTACCCCCACTAGATGGAGTGACGACCTTAAATCCGTTGCAAGGAGTCAGTGGATGCAGGTGGCTCAGGACCGTTCTTTATGGCAATGTATGGGGGAGGCTTATGTCCAGCAGTGGACGGATAGTGGCTGAAATGTTGATGATGTCGATGATATGTAATATATATGCTTAATTATTTCATCATCATCATATTAATCTTTAATTGTCCTCTGCTGAACATAAGCCTTCCCTTTAGGGAGGTTTTGCCAATAGTTGCCACGCTTGGCAGGCGGGTTGGCAACCACAGTCAGGCTTTGGAGATGTTTTAAGAGGGACGCTGCTGCCCATCCCTTACCGTCCCTTAGTCGCCTGTTACGACACCCACGGGTTAGAAATTTAGATTTTGGCGTGAATTTACTGGGTACAGAGGAATAACACCCGAGTCCTCAGGAATGGCAACGCATGGGGGGTATCATGGGCGAAATAGTATACTCTGTTATGTCCATGGTACTGCTCATGTCTATAGGCGACGTTTACCACTATCCATCAGGTGGGCCGCCAGCTTGTTTGCCATTCTAAGTTGTATAAAAAAAAGGAGGGGGTGGCCTATTCTATACCGAGACCACACGGCCAGCTATATATATACGAGTATAATACAAATATATATATAACAATTATAAAGTACAGAAGGTGGTCTAATTTACAGTATTACAAATAATTAACTTAATATATAATAACTATATATTTAGTACCTCTTGTAATATCTATTTGCATAGACGTTGTGAGATGTGGCACTGCCGGTCCAGATGGAGTACTAGGGTAGACAGCGTAATATTCGTCAATAATACCGGGCCCTTTTGGTATAAAACCACCTGAAAAAAAAACACAACTTACCTTTTAATATCTTCATTATAAACTAGCGATCCAACTCGGCTTCGCACAAGTAGACAGAATTTTTGAAAATCAATACATATGTATAACAGAAAAAGTTTTAGCCAATTCGATTTTGATTAATATAACTTTTTATTTATAAACTGATTGGATTAAAACAAACACTAAATATTAAGTGGAACAAACCGCAACGCATTAGTGAAAACCGCATTCAAATCGGTTAACTACAGATAAACAGACTAAACAGACAAAAATTCAAAAATCATTGGTTTGAGATTTATTGCGTTCATAAAGCCCTATATAATAGTTTTTCTTATATATCTTCCATGTACAGACAGCGACCACTTATGATTTTATTATATGTATTGTTTTGTTATACAAATTTTTGAAAAATAATACGTTACTCGTACGTACCTTCAGTTTCTACTGGCGGCGAGAATAAATTTTCAACTGGTGTTCGAACCTCAACAGTGGAACTTGTGCTTGGCGTTTTAACAACAGGTTTATTAACATCAACTTTAGTATTTCCTAACGATATCGAAACTGGGTAATTATGTGTGGTACCTAAATCATTGTATAAACTAGAATATGCGGTATTCGGTATGTCTGTGTCATGAGACAATGGTGGATACTGTGGTTTTACTTTTTCAGACACAAATATTGGATATTTTGTTGGTTGGTACGTATCTTCTCGTCTATTCGCATACACGGTTTCTTTAGATTCAACTTTGGGATAATAAATAGGATATTTGTCTTCTCTCTCTAGCATAGGATATGTTAAAGGCTCTTTCGGTGATATGTCCTCATCGACTACAGCATCGGCTGCCACAAATGGAATGATCCTGAAAAAAGTATTATTGCATAATATTATATCATAAACAAACCTTACAAGAAGCAAAAATTTGAATGAAATAAAGAAAAATAATATCAAATTTTATTGAAAATTGAAAAAATATATGACTGCTTACTTCAAATTAGGCAACGAAGGTGGTAAAGTTGGTTCCGTGTAATCGTAATCATATTCGCCTTTAATCTTTTTAGAACTGTTTACTACATCAGTTGCGTCTGTAGTTTCCACTGTCTTCGTAAAAGCGACCATAGAAGGTTTTGGTGTAGAGCGACTCATGTTTGTCATCAGAGAACTAGTTACATTAATGACAAATGTTTCATTCTCGTCAAAACCTCCATTAACGTTTCTATCAGTAATAATATCGTTAGGAGAGAAAGTTTGGGCTTCGATATCAATTTTATTGAGAATTGGTATTCGAGGTTGAGATTCAATTTCTATTCTATTCGTATCATTTAATGTAATATTCAAGGGAAGAGACGTCGACGATAATTCAGCAGTACAATTTATTGTTCCATTGATCGTGATTTTAATGGTTCCCTGAGGTTGCTCTGTTGAAATCTTTTCAGCTGATTGCTCAGTTGTGATAGTGTTCTCTCTTTGAATTTCTGTTTCTGTAGTTGGCGTTTGTGTAGTTGGAGTTGATGTATTTTCAACAATTTTTTGTAATTTTTCCAGCGGTGGATCATTAGTCTTTCTTTTCACTTTAGACGTGGTAGTAATATTTGAATGTGAAATAGGCAGAGCAGGAGTTTTGGCATCACTTGTGGTAGTTGATATAGTTCTTGTTGTAGTTTCTTGGTTAATCACTTTATTGTGGAATGAACGGTCATTGTATCTAGTTGATATTAAGCTATTATCCAACAACATCGATACGTAAGGTGTAACGAGCTCTGTAATATATAATAAACAATATGTTAGATAATAAAAACTTCAATAAACATTATTAAATTACTACTCCGAGTCAAATTCAACCTATTTTAAAATATTTTGTTGATTTAGCACAAAAAAAAATTAATTTTTTAAAGTCCATATTCTCATACTTGAAAGTTCCAGCTTTTTATTCTTGTTGATCTTTATACTTCACTAGCTCTTTGCACGCTACTTCTTACGAGTGGTTTTGAGAAGTAATAAAACCAATAAAATAGCCTACTTCTAGATAACGTATCAAAATAAAACATACACCAGTTTCTAAGTTAGATCTTCAGAAATACAACAGTGATAACCACCTGTAATTTAGCGCTGTAGTTTTTATGTGATGCATGATGATGAGATGAAAAATATATTTTGGCTTCTATAGCTCTTATTAGGATCCATCACATATTTTTTCTTAAATATCGTCCTTGTGCATACATCACCTAGTTACAAGTTTTATTATATTACTAAGAAAAGATATTATAAATATTTTAATTTACGCTCACCATGATGTTTATGATCACAGCGGTACTGATGTGGGCAGCACTGGCCTGGCCGCAACAATGGCTTGCAACCGAGCAGAGGTGGCGCACAAGCGAGAGGCTGACAGCGAATCGAGCCACGAAGACAGAAGCATTGAGTGCAGTTGCCTTTAGATTCAGCTAAAATTGCTCTCTCCCCTTCGGAATACCATTCTCCTGCTACCTTACAATCTGTAATTTCATTACGAGACATAAATTAGAAATGACTTTAAGCACAAATATGGTAATAATGAATTAATGGTAATAGAATAATAAAATAACTAATGACCATGTAGTCCCGGCATTGAAAAGGCTACCCCTTCCTTTCCCGTGGGTGTCGTAAGCGTCGACTAAAGAGGGCGAGAGATGGGCAGCAGCGTCCCTCTTAAAACATCTCTAAAACCTAACTGCGGTTGCCAATCCGCCTGCCAAGAGTTGCAACTACTAGCAAAACCCCCAAGGTGGAAGCTTATGTTCAACAGTGGACAGCTAAAGGCTGATATGATGAATGCAATGGTGCCTTCATTGGTAGCAATATATCCAAATAGGTCCACCCCACGTGAGCTTACTCTTGGAAACCATCATGCTAAAAACCAGGCCCTCTAGACAAATGGCTTAGGTAGTTAGACTAGATTCTTCTAATGTCTCAAATATAATTGGTGTGTGTAATATGTCCAGCCAGTGGCTGCCGCTCATTATGTAACCCACCATGTATTGGGGGAAGGGATTGTTAGTAATAGGGAGGTTAGTCCACATCAATCAGGACGACCTCCACGCGGTTTCCCCTGGAAACTATCGTGATTAATTTATTATTGAATTCGTCCCAATGGGCTAACTGACCTGCCTTTTCATCCTCACCTGTCACCTCTCACTGGTACCCCGCCAGTCCATCCCGATAGCAAAGGCTGGGCGCTATCATTCCATTTTCACCCATAAAAACTCACCATGTATATTCATCTGATCAGGAGGTTTAGTAGTAACGTGTTCGCAGTAGTATCTCTGTGGACAGCAGGCACCTGGAGCAGGGCGAGCTCTACACCCAGGAGGTGGTGGCAGACAGCGTGGTCGCACGCACCGTCGAGCGCCACCCAGGCAGAAACACTGCTCACAGGCCGTGTTAGAACTCATCGCTGATCCAGCCGAGTACACCGTGCCGCCTTCCACGCACGCTGGAAATACTCAAAAGTTATCAGCTGTGATTAATGTGGTGGGAACGTTGAAAGAGATGGAATAATGTAGCAACTGCGTTGATAATTACCGTGGACGACAGTGGCTGGTGTGGCTATGTCAGCGAAATCTTCAGTTTCAAATCTTGCTGACGCTCCGTGTTCCATTAATGTAACTCCGTCTAGAAAAATATATTATTTTAAATTACTCTAATTGCAAATAACATGACAGCTTACAACTGGCTTATGAAAATGATTTGAAGCAAATATTCAATTTGTAAATGTTAACTTTAGTAGCCGCGTGGTCCCGGCGTAGAATGGACCACCCCATTCTATGCCGGGACCATGCGGCCACCTACTTTTAGCAGCGGTATCTTTCTTAAAACTTTATCAAAACCTAACTGCAATTGCCAATCCACCTGCCAAGCGTGGCAACTGATGCAACTATGGTGATGATGACACTTAGTTCAGTTGTATGTCCCATTTGCCTCGCATAATTACTCGTCTTTAAATAATGAAGTATCATTCCTTTATAGGTATATCTGTCATATCTATGGTACCATTACCAGAGGGAGACTTTGTACAAAAGTTGATTGCTTGGGTACCTCTGTCCCATTCGTGTTTCAACCGTGAAGCAGTTGTGTTTGCATGGCTGTGTTTCAGTTTGAAGGGTGGGATATGGCGTGAATTTACTGGGTACAGAGGAATAACACCTGAGTCCTCAGGAATGGCAACGCATGGGGGGTATCATGGGCGAAACAGTACACTCTGTTATGTCCATGGTACTGTTCATGTCTATAGGCGACGGTTACCACTTTCCATCAGGTGGGCCGTCAGCTTGTTTGCCATTCTAAGTTGTATAAAAAAAAAATTCTACGTACTTTTATTGTCTACATTCTAACCTAAAGACAGAGATACAGTAAACGACTTTTATACAAAGTTTGCAACAGTATATGTAATATTAAACAAAATCCTCACCAGGACAATGCAGTTCTGGACAGCAGGATCCCTTGCGATGTAGCACATGGCAACGGTGAGGTGGTGGGTCAGGAAGCGGGGCGCACGCCCGGCGGCGACACGCCAGCGCCCCACGGGCACACACGCATCGCAGGCACGCCTCGCGGGTCATCACCACCGTGCCTTCAGTAAACCATCGCCCCTCATACATGCAACCGTGGGGCAGCTGAAGAGGCTCTGAAGTTATTATTGTTATTAAATTAAATAAAGTATAAATATAAAGAAAAAGCGCTGTAAAATAAATTTCAATTAAAAAAAATGCGATAAAGATCATATCTTTCGATTCGATTTCATGTTAACGATAAGTATAAAATAGAGGAATTGGACAGATACCAAAAGAAAGTCGTGCTTTATAAAGCACTACTTTCTTTTGGTATCTGTTCAATGTCATATTTTGCTGTAGCAAAATATGAGGAAGACCTATGTTCAACAATCAACGTTGAATAAATTGAATTAACTATGATGATATATATATATATATATATATATATATATATATATATATATATATATATATATATATATATCAACAATACAATTTCGTTGAATAAATTGAATTAACAAATATACAGATGTAAATACATACAATACCTACCTACTTATATAATAAATGTTCAAATATATATATATATATATATATATATATATATATATATATATATATATATATATATATATATATATATATATATATACTCTTAATGTGATTCATATGAAGTGAAATGTAAATTAAATAAAATCCCAACTTCGTACTTACAAAGTGAAGCTTAAAAAAATTACAAAAAAATAAATCCTAAAATAATTAATTTTTGTTTTTCAATTCACACGTTTTCGTTCAACACGTGTACCATTAGACATTAAACTTCAATAAAAAAATGTCTGATTCCTTGGCACTAACTACATAAAAAAAGTTATCGAGTTTAAATAAATAATAATAAAAAGTTTAAATATTTCGAAAATATATAGCTTATAAATCGGCAAATTTCTGAGTGATATTTCAGATAGACTTAGAATGGCAAACAAGCAGACGGCCCACCTGATGGAAAATGGTAACTGTCGCCTATACACATGAGCAGTACCATGGACATAACAGAGTATACTGTTTCGCTCATGATACCCCCCATGCGTTGCCATTACTAAGGACTCAGGTGTTATTCCTCTGTACCCTGTAAATTCACGATATGTCCCACCCTTCAAACCGAAACACAGCCATGCAAACACAACTGCTTCACGGTTGAAACATGAATGGGACAGAGGTACCCAAGTAATCGACTTTTGTACAAAGTCTCCCTCTGGTTTATTCATTACAAACAAACAATTATAATATTAACTAAAAAAAAAACAAAGAAAGGTTAACTGACCGTGTGTTTTGATACTACGTTCGGCGCGAACGAAATCCCGACTTGCCATAATATCTCTGTGCATTTCTGTAAAAAAATAAAAAAAACGTAAACAAATAATCAAAAATAAAATAGTAACAATTTTTGTATTTGTGATACGAAATCTTGATATCTGTTTTTATATTACAATAAATATATTTTATTAATAAAACGAATCTATTTGGTATTACAATTGATTTCATTTCACACAACGACACCCAGTGATATATCTGTATTATAATATATATGTAAGAAGTTGCAAAGACGTAAAAAAGACAAAAACTAGAGTCGAATTCAAAACAACTCTATAAAAAAAAGCGACTAAATTTTGTCGAAATTATCACAGAAATACTCTCCAAAGGGATTTAACAATAATTTGAAATATCCAATTAATTAATCCATGTTTGATTTGCTATTGGACATCAACCGATTTCTATTTGCTTGGTTTGAGCATTCGTTTCTTTACATTTACATTAAATTCTCTTGAAAGACACATTAGAAATCAAAACGTCCGCACGTGCTCTCAAAACATCGTAGAAAAATAGAAAATATTAAAAAAAATACAAACATATAAAAAGATTCTTTCAAATCTGCCCAATCAATGAGCATAATAATCGTAACAGATATACTTCGAGACACATAAACTGCCTTCCATTATTGGTAAACAGGGACGGAATAAGTTGGCTGTATCGGCAGGGATTCTGACTGTGTAGTGTTGATGACCGCCACATACGAGCAGGCGGCGCGGCCACAATAAAAACTAGCACCGACCCTGCCGGGACTGGGGTTTGGTTCCTGACTCACATTTTCATTATACGAGACGTAATGAATTTACGGCCGCATCTGCTGTTATTTTACATTATTTTCTGAAACATGCTTGGAAATGTGAGCATTAATTTGACAATCTTCTAAGAGATAGAATCAAAATTGCCGTGCTGGACAGATACATGCGGGCAGCGACCGGCAAAAGTTGTATGAAAATCCATATCTGTCGTGTTTTGCGGCCAGATAAATTACTATGTAAACTCATATCTGTCCTGTAATTTAAAAATGGAATGACCTTTTACTTCGAAACATGGCTACCAAGGAGGTAACTAATAAAAGGTTTTATTTAAATTTCGAACTGGCTTGCAAATAGAAAGCTGTTTATTGAAAAAAAAAAAAAACAAAAGAACGTTATGGCGCGTGAAAAATTATTATTGTTCATTGAACTTAAAAAGTCAAATTGTGTTTTTGATTTCCGCGCATTGTTTGAGAAAAGTACTATACAAGCCTTGGCAACAACTAGGCATTGATGGACTCACGTATGTGTGCCTCGGCTACGCCTCGGCCCACAATTGCACGTTCGTCCATCAATGCCAAAGTTGCTGGCCGCTGCAGTAATGTACTATTATTAAAATATCTTTTGTTTTAATATTTGTATTATGTCGAAATTATTTGTTTGGATTTAATTAAAGTATTTTTCGAGTTACATGTTTGCTGCCTGCGGCTTCACCCACGTAATTCAGTATATAAAAATATCCTGTATTCTAAGTTAGATTATAAACTGTGTACCAAATTTCATTCAAATTCAACCAATACTTTTTAAGTAAAACAATAAATAACATACTCGTGCATCCACTCGCATGAACATTTTTACATTTACAATATTTAGCATTTAAATAATTTACTAGAAGGAGACTTTGTATAAAAGTCATTTGCTTGGGCACCTCTATCCCATTCATGTTTCTACCGTGAAGCAGTTGTGTTTGCATGGCTGTGTTTCGGTTTGAAGGGTGGGATATGGCAGTTAATTTACAGGGTACAAAGGAATAACACCTGAGTCCTCAGGAAAAGTCTATTATACTCTGTTATGGCCATGGTACTGCTCATGTCTATAGGTGACGGTTACCACTTTCTATCAGGTGGGCCGTCAGCTTGTTTGCCATTCTAAGTTGTATAAAAAAAACAAGAATGGTTTATTTTCGTCAATATTGAACTAAATCTTGATTGTGATGTACTTATGTAGTTACAGAAATTTATTTGTTGAGAAGAAATTAAACGAAACACGGTTACTCTCAAAAGTTACAACAACCTGAATCAAAACCTGAGAACAATAGGCCAAAACGGAACTCTAAAATCGCCAAATTATTCTAAAAATTAATTCTCTTGCGTTAAAAGCAAAGTTAATTGCAGTCTTGTTTCTCGTTACAGACTTTGGGCGTTACCACGAGTGGAGAAGCACGACCCGTGTAATTAAAAATATTTTATGATAAGCGATCTCTAAGTGAAACCTTTAATAATATCACAAACAATGGCAACTGATGTTTACGGAATAAATTATTGAAAAAAAAAGGAAGGAGACTCTCAGTTTTTTTTTAATGAGTGATAATCGAATGGTAACCCCGCCTGCGCTATCAGGATACGCTGGTAGGGCACCAGTGAGTGATGACAAGTGAGGATAAAAAGGCAGGTCAGTTATCCCATCGTGACGAATTCCACTAGAATTAACCACGATGGTTTCCAGGGGGAACCGCGTGGAGATCGACCTGACTGGGTGTAATGCTAGCAATGGGTCAATTAGACCCTATTACTAACAATCCCTTTCATCAATAGTTACCGCGTTTGACAGGCGGATTGGCAACCGCAGCTAACTGCGGCTGTCAATCCGCCTAATTAAAGCCTGAGCTTTAGAGATGTTTTAAGAAGGACGCTCTTGCCCATCCCTCATCCTCCTCTTAGTCGCCTCTTACGACACTCACGGGAAAGGAAGTGGTGGCCTATTCTATTCATATATATACACAGCAGTTTTTGTGTATATATTTCGCAAATTCTAATCCGATATTCATTTTTGTGATATTCTTTATTAAATGAAAGCTCCGTATTTTGACAAAATTAAGGTTGATTCATTATTACGAAAATCTTAAATTATTTTCCCAATAATTAAATAAATATATAATATTTTACATTCAGGTAACGACAGAATATTCAAAGAAAACCACTTGTTAATACTCCTTCACATTCCCTTAAGCTACTAAGGGAATAAAAGTAAAAAAGAAAATGGTATTTGCTCCCCAACAAGCAGAATTGGGCATTACTAAAAAAATCGCTATTTTAATTGTGACAAAACTTATATTTAATTTACACGAAAGTAAATTCATTCCACTACCAAAACACTAAATACAACCTGTTTAGAACAATATAAAAAAAAAAAAAAAAAATATATATATATATATATATATATATATATATATATATATATATATATATAAAATGTAGGAAAATTGAAAATAACTTTCTTTTGGTTTATATTCATATGTATGTATTAATATTGTATCTTTCAAATATATATATATATATATATATATATGTAAATATGTAAATTTATTTTAATTTCTGTCTTGCACTACTACTGCCCACTCACTACTTCCTATGCCACTGCGTTAGGTTGACTGGAAGAAATCTCTTTTAGAGATAAGTTCGCCTTTGCTAACATTGTTATCAACTTATTGTTGTTACTGTATGTTTTAGTGCAATAAAGAATATATATAAAAAACTCTAATTTTCGAAATCAACTATTGGGGTTTCATATTAACACCAGTAGCAGAAGCGCAAGTCTAGCGTAACAGTATTAAGACAATGGGTTCCCAGGCCGCCGTCCACGGCATAGCGAGCCCATGGGAACGGCCGCCTTCCGCTCCACATACTGAGCTGATGACCTCGGTCGGACCCGCGCCGGGCATTGTCTCGAGAGATGAGAGGCCAGATATTGTACCCCGCTGATTCCACTATTACGGTTATTCCATTATTAAGAACAATGAAATTTACTATGTTTTATGGTTTCTACTAAAACTGTAATTATACTCAGTTTTTTTTTTATGTATGATAATGGAATGGTAACCCCACCCGCGCTATCGGTATACACCGGCGGGGCACCAGTGAAGGATGATAGGTGAGGATGAAGCAGGTCAGTTAGCCCATCGTGACGAATTCAACAAGAATTGTTCACGGTGGTTTCCAGGGGGAACCACGTAGAGGTCGACCTACTAAGGCATATTGCTAGCAATGGGGCTGTCAAATTCCATTGCTAACAATCCCTTTCCCCCGTAATTATACTCAGTTTAAATACAATTTAATATTACTACTATATTGCTTGACGGAAAGCGACAACCGTTGCCTGCAGACATGGATGTCGAAGAATGTCATGCTACTCGTATCTTGTCACTAATTTCGCCCTGAACGATAAATTTACTTTTAATTACTTTTAAAAATCTGATAGAAGCATCGAGAAGTAAATACAACAGCTTAATAAAGTCATTAGAATTCTGTACTAAGAAGCTATAAGAGAATCCTTATAGTACCATCCATCCTTCTGTCTGGCACAGCGCAATATCTCAGCATCTCCCAGTGCCATCAATTTTTAATTTAGAATAGTTTTAATTATCATTATATCTCATATATTGTAATGGAAATAACTGAAAAAAATATTTTATTTTATTGCTAATTGGGGTCCTTAAATCTGTCAGCTGTAAACCGATATAAAAATTATTTTTTATCTAACATATTAGTTCCATAGAAATGTTATCAAAATGTATTTAATAGTATATTTTTAAATTAAAAATTGTCGCAATTCAAGTCTTTTTTTTAACGAACATAATCCCAATGTGTAATAAATGATCAAAATGGACGTAAAAAAATCCAGTTATTTATACAATTAAAAACAAGTTAAGTTAAGATTCTAATCCCTACCTTGTGACATACTTTTAGTAGCTTACTAATAATAGATAAGCTACTAAAAATATGTCATAAAAATAAAACATTTTATTTTCATAATGATTACGAGGGAAATGGCCAATTCATGCCAAGTCGAGCATTAGAGGCGCAAATAAAAAATTGCAGTGAATATAAAAAATGTCCAGCAAAATCACATATAACATACCAGCTATAACTACGTGAAAAAAGCGTGGGAGCCGTTGATGAGTAAGTCGGTACATATTTTTATAACCGTTATTGTTTATAGCAATGAGTTTAACCTGTGGTAAAAAAAAAACGTTCCAAATACGACGCAG